CAAACAAACAAACAAACAAATACATGCACTCCAGCTTCTCTGCAGTCCTATCTGGGGGATGATATTGCACAGATTGCATCCTGCTACTCTAAGCACTCCACCTTGGTGGGGTTGGGCCCAAGAGAATGATGTTGCTCAGGGTAGTGTGCCAAGGGTTGTATGGGACATCACACTGAAATTGGCTTCAAATGGAGGCTGATCACTCCAATCTCCATGTATATCTATGACCAATAACACACACTGTTGAGATGGGGTGTTCCACAAGACTGGTAGTAGGTTTTCCTTATGGTATTTTGCTTCAAACAAAATGCCCATTCCAGACCGTACTGATCCATGGACTATCATGGGTAAAGCAAAAGGGGATTGTTGCCCATCCCTGCCATTGAATAAATCAGGGAGAATCTGCTTTTCAAAATAGGGATTTTGTGGTCACCAATTGCAGTGTCTCTGGTGGCAGCATTCCTCTGAACTCCCCCAGTGTATTTCCCCCTTCTTCTTCTTCTTCTTGTGGAGTATGGGAGTCCTTGGTACTTACAAGTTCCTAGCCACTGGGGTGGTGGAACCATGGAGGCTGCTTTCTGCATGTGCTCAATTTCATTCAGTAGAGAATAGGGCAGTAGTGTTTTTCTGGTGTCGATGGTGTAAATCCTCCACATGAATCAAGGCCATATCATAAAAGTGTTAGAGAGGATCTGCTACTTTGCAATTCACCTCTCTGGTTGGGATCCTTTGTCTTAATATTGACCGGATTTTAGTTCCCAGTGAGTGGTTTTAGATTAGAGCAGGACCAATCAAAATAAGTCCTCACACATGTGCTGAGTTATGAGGTTTGCCTCATGCAGTCCTCCATACAGTAAGTCCCTGAGGTGGATTTTGTGCAGACTTGGCTCGATTTGCCCCCAGACTGTGGTTAAATGGTGAATCGGCTGCTCATCTATGCACACCAGCTTCTGTGTGGACCTGGCTCAATTCGCCCCCAGAATGTGGTTGCACTGTGAGTCAGACAGTCATACATGCATTCCAACTTCTGTTCAGCTCTATCCAGATGAGGATGTTGTGCTGAGCACATATAGTCCCTCCTGGCACTCCACCACAGTGAGGTTCACACTCAGAGTCTGATGTTGTTCAGTGTGGATCTGATCTGATTGGTTGTGGATTGTGCCATATTTACTAGAACGATACAGAAGTATGGAATTTTCTTCTCCCGTTCTACTCAACTTAAGGTGAAGATGGTGTAGACCCTCCTCCTACCACAGGTTGGAAGTTATATGCCTGACACTGCATGGTTTTGGACTGGAGTTGACCTACCAAGGAAAGTTGGTCTGTCATACCCTATCCATTCAATACCAAGGGACACATCCATTTTAGCTTTCTATGGCAAGGGACCCTACATGCATTCTTCTACTAAAATATGATTCTGGAGATTTCAGACCACCCCAAATTTTCTCTCATTTCTTGGATGTGTTCCTCAGGATTTCCACCCATTTATGCAACATGTACTACCACACTGGATGAAGAAGTGGTGCAGTCTCCCACGTGTGTTCCTCTCCCATCAGGGGTTCACACTCCATGGGTGTTCTTAAGATACTGTCGAAAGATGCTTATTTATAATATCCTTCACATTTTCTCTTCACCAATTCAGTGTGGGATTCTAGCTATTAAGTGAGCGGAGGTATGGTACTATATCAGAAGTTATTATTCTTGTACACTGAAAATATATTTCTGATAGGTACTTACATCCCTTCACAATTTACATCTTTTCTCCCCACTACCAGTGTTCAACTTCTGCCTAATCTTGAAGGGATAGTTAGATGGAATCAAATAGAGGAAGTAACGTGTCAGGAGGGTGTATCTCATTCTTATTGGTGAAAGGTTATCACATGATAATTTACATGCAAAGATACAATAAACCATGTTGATTGTGAGGTAGGTGGGAGTTTCAAGGCTAGTGGCATGTAAAACATTTTGCATATAGAGGGCAGCACTGCTGAACAAGAAAAGCTATTGTAATGAGTAGTGCCCTGGTGGGGTTAATTGTTGGAGTTTCAATTTAAACTACTCGTTACACCAAATTTATTCATTGAAGGATTTGTCGTGGAGGATTTGAGTGGAGCCACAAGTTGCTAACTTGAGTAAATTTATGCTTAGACTAAAGAAATAGAGACTCAGGCCAATAGTGAACACTTAATATAACATTTATTCAACATTTAACAACTTCTCCAAAACATTACACACTTTGAACATTAGTTCTATCGAGTTACTAATTATATATCGTATTAAACACTTTATCTTCATTGTCGTCTCTTCAGTCCCGGAGAATTTTGCGGATACTGGAGAGCTTCTCTTCAGTCCTGGAAAACTTTTCTTCAGTCCCGGAGAACTTAACTTTTCAGCCTCTGACATGGGTTTTTAAACTATCTTTTCTCTGTATTATTTCGACCCACTAAATAGGACAAAGCATCATCCACAAGTAGTCCTGTGCTCCTATTGGATACTTTACGGGAATTCCTGGGCTAAACCAGAACCAAAACTCTCAAGTAATTGGTTACAGATAAGTGGTGTTAGCCAGCTGCCTATTCACTTGTACTGCTACACCCATGTGCTGTAACTAATACCACCTCAAAGTGTCGATATGATTCACCAAACCAAACTTTTCTGTAGCTTTCTTAGTTCTAAGAGGTTGAGGTCAGTAATTCTTCAACTTGTCATAAGTACTGGGGTATTCATCTTGTTTCTAGGCAATGTTTCTTACTAACTATGCCACTGACCTTGGTTACTGGTTCCCAAACTTGCTTCACGAGCTCATTTCGTAATACACGTGTCTTGTTGCTTGTTTCTAGGCAACACTCCTTACATGACTAATTCTCGAGCTCATCTCACAAGCTTATTTCGTAACACAGGCGTCTCCCTGTTGCCTCTTTTTTATATATCCTTGGCTACTCACTGATACTAAAAACCTTCAAGTTTTATTCTGTGTATTTTCAACTACTAAAACTCTGAAGCAGTTGTAAAATTTCCTCGAAAATGTTCAAGTTGCTTCACTATTATGTGAAATGAGGTAGGTACCTATTGGAAATACATTTTCAGTGTAGGAAAATAATAACTTCTGAGTACCCTGTTGCTTCATTTTTTTTTTCTATAAAGCTGATCTGCTCCCTTCTTCTTTTTTTTTTTCTCCTACTTGGACTCCAGTTCTCGGAGTTCATTTCTCATTCTGAATTTTTCTCTGACTCTGCTTGGCCACAATTTTTAAAAATCTAAAATAGCATATCTTTCTGGCTTGAAGTTATGGTTAATTGGTTCCCATATACTTTACAGTGTTGGTATTCTGGCTTTTAGTATTTTATAGGTAAGTCTACCTGAATGGAATTTTACATTCTTAGAATTAAAGCGAATTGCAAACAGGTAGGTGTTTCTGAAATACCTTTCCTCTTGCCTTCCCACAAATGAGTTTTCATCATGGCTTCAACTTTCAAACAAATCTTATGGTGTGAAAGCAGAGCTTATGTAAGATCTACTGGTACATGCATGGAAGGTGGGAGAGTGGTGTACTGTAGGTTAATGACCTATATGGTATGCAACTATGTAAAGGATGTGCAGAAATTTTGAGTCTCATACTTTGTATACAACAAGAGTTTAAACTTAACAAAGAAAGGCTTTCAGTATTTCAAAGGTAAGTACCTGTTTAAATTTCATTTTAATTCTAAAAATGTAAAAATTAAGGCAATTTGAAAATAAAAACAGTTTTTTAGATATTAAATTTTTACTTTGTCTTATTTTATAGGTAGACTATCTTGACTCCCAGAGCAGTGAAGCTATAATAACAAAAGGGAAGTTACAGTGGGCTCCTCTGTCTGAGTCTCTGTGTGTTAGAAAATTTACTTAATTGTGTTATTACATTGTTAGCAAATTAGTTAACTGAACATTTCAGATCATTTCACACAGTAATAAATAGTTTTAAATAGGATTTTTACCTTTGGGTTTGATATGTGTTTGTATAGTTTTACTTGAACACAGTGTGAACTTTATTAGCTAGAAAATGGAAAAGAAAAAATACTAAATTATATTTGGAAGCAAAACAGATGTTTACTAATAAATTTTTTTAATGAAAATGACATTTCGTATGCATAAATATATATATGGTTTTCTTTTTAATGTTTGTGCATTTGATAGCATTATGAAATTATAGTTCAAAACACCAAAAATACTTCTTTAATTTCAGCTTCATTGAGTTTTGTTTTATTGTAAAGTATAGGGAAGATATTAGCCTATTTCTATAGCTAGTCCAGTAATTTTTTTTTTATAACTTTAAGGTTATAAGTGGGGTTTATGAATGCCATTGGCTTTATGGTACATTTTACTAAACTGTTTATGCTTCATGTTGCTTGTGGGTACTTTATTATGTATTTGTTGCCTGTTAACATAGAAATCATACAAAAAATATAAACAAATACCGCCAATATTTCAATTTATCTCACTAATTATCTCTGATAGATAGCAGGTAGGTTTTATAATGACCTACACAATGATATTCTTGACCTTGCCATCCATCAACTTCAATTTCTTTCTAACCTAGAATGATATACCTACCTGCAAAGGTCCCAGCCTGGGTTACTTATAGTTTCTGTGAACTGCAAAGATGATGTTTAGTCAGAGCTAAATGTATTAGAGGTCCAGTAGCTATGTTTGTGGCAGAAGAATGCTTTAAAGCATCAGTGGCACAGTGCTATTCAAGGAAAGAACCAGATCTTCTGGGAGCAACCTGTATAGTTCATTATATTGATTCTGGGGCTAACTGCTACTATTAGTGCCTGAGGATAAATCATAACAACTAATAATAGTTGTGAATGTTGGACCAAGAAGAATCAATGCATTAGACATTTGGTGCTACTGCAGAATGCTGGAAAAGCAGAATCCCAAATATAGAAAGTCCCCAGAATTAATTGTGAAAGCTAATACATGAAGAACACAGCTAGTTGAAAAATGGTACTTGCTGAACATGAGCAAGGAACAAGTGTCAAAATATCTTTCTTTATTCATCTTAGAAGGAAGAATAGAAGGCAGCAGTGGTAAAGTTAATCAGTGATGCACATGGCTGGATGTCATTAAAGAATGGTTAAATATCAAAGAACATTTATGAAGGAAAAGTTTGGGTGAACTGGAAGATCATGATTTCCAACCTTTGGTCAAAGAGGGTACAATGATTGATTGAATTACTGCTGGGGTTCCCTATTTATTTTACATAGAAAATGAGTGAATATGCTTAATTTTCATTGGCGAGTTCTTTGCATTGAATGTTGTAATAGGCAAAAGCATTATATGTCTTGATATGATGAATATGTGGATCCCACTGATAGTGGATTTGAGGATTAACACATCCAAATGCACAATTCATAGTACCTTTCAGTGAAATGCTAGAAGCTTGTTCAGTAATTTACCTTAGTTTTATGATCTGATGGAACTATTATTCACAGACCAGCTTTAAAAAAAAAAAACAGAAAGAGGGAGAATATTCTCCCTTTTATATATAATGGCTATGTGGGTCTGTTGATATGTGTTCATTGACCTTCACTTTTGAGCATGAACAGGAGGTCATTAAGGTTTTCATAGCATGTTTAATTTTGTTATATATTATACAGATCATTCTAATTTGTAGAATATGTACAGTAATACTCATTTTCAAACATAAAGTATAAGTCATCAGAGTATAAACATAAGATTTTTAGATTCAAAATATTGGCCTTCTTCTTGTAGATGTTCACAAATGTTTGTCTCTCCAGATAGTTAATTAAAACACCAAAAAGTATTAAGATATCTGAACAAAACGTTTTACGTGTAGAGAAACAGCCAATTAAAATAAAAGGGTCGGTCATATAAAGATGTGATGTTGACAAAAAGTTATATAAAAGGGCCCATGTAAAAGTGAATAAGTTAAAGAAGTAAAATTGAGGGACATTTGGCCTCCTTTTTAATCACAATTAATATTGGTTCCACATTTGTTTCAATAGTTTGCACCTCCATTGATTTTAGTAAATTACCTTCTATAGAAATATGGGTATTTTAACACTCCTTGTTCATTTGCCACCTATTAAAACAGTACAAAAAGCATATTTAGAAAAAAATCTAGTTTTACCATGAATCCAGAGAAGATTAATAAAAACAATGGTAGAATATCCATATCTAGAAATAAATTACCAGTGTAAGGAGTGATATTTGTTAAATGACAAGCATTCAAAAGCTCATAATTTTTTTTTTAAATTTGGCAAATGAAAATCTACATTTAATAGATTTATATCTTGAAATGATATCCTAAGACTTACTAATTGGTTCAGAAAATTGTTGTATCATCAGAATCCCATTTTGTAGAACTTGCTATTATATAATGCAGTTTAACACTTCCATGAAAAACCATCTGGCCTATTGTAATTTTAATTATTTTAGTAACTTAAACTTTGTTGTGAAATGAAAGTAATTAAATATGCAGTCAAATCGATTAAACTAATTGGTTATAATAGGACAGTAAGCATTAAAAGCATGTAAGATGCACATACCAGATTGCCCAAAAGCAGCTTGAATGTGTGAGGCATTTTCTATGTAATTGCCATTATAAGCAGTCTATTGTTGGTGAAGTTGGAATAAATACAGGTATGTGATTAAACGTTGCAGGTGAAAATTGTATATTCATATGTAAAGTTTGTGCATGCTTCAAAAGAATAAATAAAAAAGTTAAATAATATTCACATTAGACGTACAATAAATTCATCAATTAGAACATTTAAATGTACAATTAGTTGCTGTATAGTTTCAACTAAAATATAATTGAGAGAAAAGAAACTACCGTTTCCAGAAAGTATCATATAGGTATTGATCTAAATGTTACTTAATTATGTCCCTACAAGTAGCTGTAGGCCATGTACTGTATTTCATGGATCAGGGACTTTTGTAAATCGTGTTTGTTTTGTAAAAGTAAAACGTACGGGGCAATTGGTGGTATAGGTACCCACCGTATTACTTTGCTCTTAAAAACAACTGAGAGTTGTAAGCAGTAGATATATATATGTATTTCTGTGTGCTTCATTTGTAATGCTTGTAAAAATGAACTCCATCTATTAGACTTGATCAAAAGAATTCTTATTATTATAATTCATAAACTAAAGTATTATTAGGTAAACGAACATTTTGTTAGTATATCCCTATAGCTGTGATAAGTATAACATTAAAAGTATGTATTCGCTTTTTTTTATCGTATATTTATGTTATAAGATTTAGCGAAAATTGAAGAGGAGGGTACTATTCTAGAAAAGTAAATGACTTATCGCCAGGGTAAAGCTACCCATCGCTAACAGTGCATAATATATAGTGTTTATAACTCATGATATCTAACTATTTAATAATGTCTCAACCAAATGTAAATACGTTTCATTTGTGATTTTGGGCTCATTGTTAAAAAAAAATTAAGATTTAGATTATTCAACGTATTTAGACACAAATCAGTTGTTTATCATTGCACTAGAAGATTCACTGGCTTCAGTTATCCATCGAAAGCATGGATCATATTGTAAACAGGACTAACCGCACTTATTTGAACGAATTGTGTGTAATCGTAGCGGCACGGGTGACATGCTTATCACGTGTATACGGCGAATTTCTAACCATTCGACCATCATTTGTAAACTTGTGGTTAAAGGAATTTCTAAAGCTTTATAGAACGAAAATATTTCGATGGGAAGATAGTTAAACCATGCAGTACTAAAGGAAATATTTCAATGGGAAGATAGTTAAACCATGCAGTACTAAAGGAAATATTTCAATGGGAAGATAGTTAAACCATGCAGTACTAAAGAAAATATTTCGATGGGAAGATAGTTAAACCATGCAGTACTAAAGGAAATATTTCGATGGGAAGATAGTTAAACCATGCAGTACTAAAGGAAATATTTCGATGGGAAGATAGTTAAACCATGCAGTACTAAAGGAAATATTTCGATGGGAAGATAGTTAAACCATGCAGTACTAAAGGAAATATTTCGATGGGAAGATAGTTAAACCATGCAGTACTAAAGGATATATTTCGATGGGAAGATAGTTAAACCATGCAGTACTAAAGGAAATATTTCGATGGGAAGATAGTTAAACCATGCAGTACTAAAGGAAATATTTCAAAGAAGGGAGCTTTCCGTTACACCGGAAAAACTTGCACAGTAGTGTTTAGTACAGGAAACGAAACAACTCAAATCGGAGCAACATTTTTTATCCACATAGTGAACACTGTGGTTACGAAATAGAAACATCATACTCAAGAAAAAGTTATTGCGATGAATCAGTACATATTTTCTGATATTTTTCATAAGCTTATTGTCCAAACTCGAAATCTATGGCTATTTTGGTGAAAAAAAAAAAAAAACTGGAATCACGACAATCCCATTCAACCACGTATTTATCAAGTTCCACGTGACAGCTCCAGGGTACATCTTTTCCTTTGGTCTGCTTGAACATTGTAGACTTGGATATCGATGTAGACGTACTGAAGAAAGTTCGTCAAAAATATTTGGTTTAATATATATTTTCGAAGAAGCTTGTTATAACAGAAGTTGCGGTTTCGGGCGAGTGAATAAAGTACAGTTTAACACGGCACCCATCGCTCTTATGAAGTGATTAACGTATGTTTGGCAACAGGCATAAAAATAGTAGATTCTTGTGTTTGTATAAAGCTTTACTTTCGTTAAAGGTTTTTCTTTTATAACAGTTAATGAAATAGTATATTACATAAAGGTAACACGTTTTTATTTTATTTTTGTATGGTTTTTCTTTGATACAAGTTTCAATTGCCAGTTAATATGGCATAATATTAGGATTAGATCGTCTAATAAGACGGAAATTCTGATGTCGTATGACATTGTTAAAGTAGTTTCAGATATTAACGTGTTTTACTATTAGTTCATAATTTTCAGTTAATTTATACCTAAAAATAAACATATTTTTAAGTGTAAAAGTTAAAATTTGGTTGACTTCTCGTTTAGTCCCAGTAAACCAAGACAATTACTTTAAAAAAATATTGTTTAAACAGTACATGCTAAACTTGATAAACGTAGTCTTTTTTTATATTACAGATTGTCCATCATGTAACTCTGCGTATGACAACAAGACAAACAAAATCTTGCTTATTCGGTGAATTTTGTATTAAGTGTACTTTTATCTTACGTGTTTAAATTAATATTGGCTTTTTTGAGCTAATAAGGCTTAATTTAATCGCAATCAGTATTGTTTGTTAGTTATTTTGTCTCTGAAGTCGTGAGAAGCGCTAAAAGTCCTAAAATTTCATTTTAGTATAGCATCTTTATTACTTGGGAAAGGATGGAGTGATCAATTCCTAAAAAGAGTTGTTTGTGTCTCTAATATCCTCCTTTCTTTATACCATAATTTATATTCTGTGTGTCTGAAGGTGAAGACTTTAACAAGCTAATTAAATTATACTAAAAATCTTTTTGGTTGGTTGTTAATTAAAGCATCTGTAAAATTAGACTCGTGGAAGCGCAATCTAGTTCTTACATGTGTTAGGAATCTGACGTGTTTAGTCGACATATGCTTGTCTCGTTTGGGCTTGTAGTTTAATTCCTAATGGGTTATCATAATTTTATTCTCATATCTCTAAAACCTTTTTCAAAAGTTACTAACTTCGTCCCAGATTCATTCTTGGTTTTCATTTCTTCTCTTGTGTTAATGCAGGATACTCGTATTGAGAGTTCAGTACGTTATATTAAAACGATTTTAGAACCTAGCCATATCGTTAAAACCAATGCCGCAACGTCCGTTCTTGCTCTATCTAATGACCGTGCATCATAACAATCATCATCGTTCATTGAAACTAACAAGTTAACCAAAAAAAAAAAAAACTTATTCATCCGAGAGAGTGTGGGATGTTAGAAACAATCGCCATGTCTGGATAATACAAATTAAAGAACGTTGAATATACGGCAGTAAAAGAACGTTGAATATACGGCAGTAAAAGAACGTTGAATATACGGCAATAAAAGAACGTTGAATATACGGCAATAAAAGAACGTTGAGTATACGGCATTCCGATAAAAGTACAGTAGATACTACTGATTTTGCAGGAAAAAAAATCAAAGAAAATCCTATAATAGTGAAAACACTGGTGTTGATCAATGCGGGTGATAACGCAGCCTTGCAACAAAAACACATACTATTAACAATTTGTGACAGATGTTTTATTTCCCACAAAAACGTTTTTTTTTGTTGTTTTTTTTCCTTTTCCAGTACTTAATGTAGTGGGAAGATTTCATGTGACCTAGGTTTTGTTTTTTTCGTTTCCAGTACTTAATGTAGTGGGAAGATTTCATGTGACCTAGGTTTTGTTTTTTTCGTTTCCAGTACTTAATGGTGGGAAGATTTCATGTGACCTAGGTTTTGTTTTTTTCGTTTCCAGTACTTAATGTAGTGGGAAGATTTCATGTGACCCAGGTTTTGTTTATTTCGTTTCTAGTACTTAATGTAGTGGGAAGATTTCATGTGACCTACGTTTTTCCGTTTCTAGTACTTAATGTAGTGGGAAGATTTCATGTGACCTAGGTTTTGTTTTTCCCTCCAAATACAAAATTAATGGTTTCGTATGAACAAACAACTTCAAACTTTACTGAAAGGATTTGGATAAGCAATTTTATTTTGTGCAAATCCGTCAATGTGAACTCCATCGTCCAGCGCTTTAAAACGAAATGCTTTTATAAGGACATGTTTGTTTATATATTTCACTTCAAACAGTTATATACACATATATCAACGTATCCGAGCGAGGAAAGTTAAAATCAGACTCGCTACATTTATGTATGAAACTCTTTCTAACTATCCGAAGCTTTTCTCGTGCATGTGTTTGTAGATTTATTAGACTTCTCAATTAAATTACAAATTTTACCAGAGTTGCTGAAAGTTATTATATAAAACTGCCAGCGAAAATTTAGCGTCTCTGTGTATGTACTTCCTGTTTAATATTTTATTGTTACTAGTTAGAATATCCATATTAGAGTGTAGTGTGGGACATAAATGTTAAAACACATTATTATTTTTGAGCATAACAGTCACTATTTTTATCATCAAAAATATTTAACTCTGTAATATACACATACTGCCAGATGCCCGTTGAAACAATTCAATGGCAATTCTCCTAAAAATAGTAATGAATAAATATATAAGCAACCCATTTCCTTGGGTCAGAGCGTACGTGCAGTATGATTGTTTAGTGGGCCAGTTACAATAGTCTTTTGTCATTCCATGTGTTATTTCAATAAGGAAAAATGCATTGCATTTGTTTTTAAGCAAAGAAGACTGACTGCATGCACTGTTAGCAAAAATGTTTGGGGATCGATGCAATACTCAGGTTCACTAAGTAGCGTCGGAATTTTTTTCCGCTGGATGCCACCGTTCCTTTTCATTTTACTGAGCGCAAGAAACGAAAACTACCGAAGTGAGCGCATTTTGAAAGTTATTATTTCTATAAGAAGTGTCAAAGGAGAGATACTCAATTCAAATAAATGTTTTCGAAATTGTGCAATAAAATGTTACACGTATATAATACCGACACGAAAAAAATATATATATATAAATGGAACAACAACAAATATATACTAACACGTTCCTCTCTTTATGTGTTTTTTTTTCCTTTCTGCTCTTCGAAATATTTTTTTAATCAGCCTACTGAGGAAGTACCGTTTTTTTTGTTTTTTTA